AGAGAGAGAGAGAGAGAGAGATGGGCTCTTACCTTCTCCTCAGTAGCAGCCATCTTCAGAGGCAGCAGGCTGGGCTTCCCTTCTTGGAGCCAAGAGCCTTCTGCCTCCACCACTCACCTGCTGCCCGCCTGATCAGTGGGCCTGCACAAAGGCAGGGGCCTCACTCCAGAAAGGAAGTCCACCCCCACTGTCTCTGCTCACGGTGCTGCCTATCAGCTGTGCTGCATGTCGTCTTGAGTCTTTGGGTCCCAGTCCCACATCCCAAGCCTCAGGGAGCAGGGCAAAGGAATCTCGACTCGAGGCTTAGGATTTGGACTCAGATTTGGGACTCAGGCCCGAGAATTTGCCAACATCCCTGCATTATCGAAAGCCCTCTGTAACATACGGCTAAGGCGTGACCATTGCTAACACTTCAGAGAGGCACTGAGGATGGGTTGCGAATGCAGCTATAGGCATGGGGCTTGTGTCCGTCTTACAGGCCCTTGCGTGGTTACTTACCAGATCAGAAGGGAAAGGAACGAGTCCCATCTTTTGTGCTAGACTTTCCCCCACAGCCTCCGCTACAACCCTCGTCCCTCACCTCCTCAGCAAGTACCGGCTTCTCTCTGACAACATTTCATGTTTTGAATGCCTTCATTTCTACATCATCTGTGCTAGATATGAAGGCTATATCGGCGTACAAATCACTTCTTTACTCTTTCTAATATACTTAGCCTTTGCTTTCTCTTCATAAATATGTCCATCTGAAATCTAAATGGCAGCTTTACTACTTGCTTTGCTCTAATTATAGTTACAGACAAAGGACGGCCACTACAGACTCTGCAAAGCAGCTTCTCCACCAGATTGCAAAGCCTTTACCTTCAGTTCCTCCAGGTCAGGTCTTTCTTTAGCCACCACAGCAGCTAAAAGCTGGTCCTCCAGCCCATCCCTGGTGACTAGAAAGTTGATCAAAGTGCACTGGGCCTGCATCTCTGGCTTGTAGTGAGGGTTGAAATACTTGGTGTGCAGGATGAGGTGAAAGTTGGGGTGATACTCTACCTCCTTGTCTCCTATCCTTATGTACCTGAGGAACAGAGTTTTGAGAAGCCATGAGAAAACTAAACAAATGAGTACAGCCGTTCCCAAGTCTGCCTGTGAATGAGGCCACAGTTATCAGCAGCAAACAATCAGGGTCACTTTACCTTTCTTTTATTTTAGTGTGGATTCAATGTCCTACTAATTTTTCTGAGAAAATTATTGGTAAAAATAAAGCAAGAATTCAAGCCGTACATGCTTTCCTCTAGTAACAAACTGGCAAAAGGGCCTTGAGACTGGGTAAGACAGTTGTTAATGAGAGACATTATCTGAGAAGCTGAAGTCTGACTACTGAAATGGAACATCAGGAAATAAAGTTTAGAACAAAGAATGTATCTATGCTGCAGTTACACCAGGTAGTCTGACATCATTGCCAAGACTCCATCTTGCAAAATCTTGAGACATCTAGTCTGATGAAGTAGCAAGAATTTTCTGCTAGAGAGGTATAGTACTGTACAGAGGAGCTCCCTAGCAGAGAATCTTCAATACTTCACCAGACTAAAAATTCCAGGTTCCAATAAGATGGAGCTACAAAAGCCAAATTGACATCAAACCCATAGCTACACTCAATGCATCACATTTCTTGACAGGGCTGCAGAATTACTCAAACGGAATTCACAGCAATAATCGGTATCTCTCCCCCCTTTTAAAAAAATCTATTCTAAGTTGTGGAATATATGCAAAAGAGCAGCAAGGACCAAAATCCTATTTTTAGATATATTCAAAGTGCTTGAACAATGAAGAAAAACAGTGCATGTTAAAATACTATTTGTTTCCCCCCTCTTGGATTAGATATTCCTGAGGGAATGATCATAAATAGCTGGAAACATGGGGGAGAGGAGGGAATAAAGGAATAAGGACTTCTGTCCTTCTGCCCTCCAAATGGCACCACAGAATGGCAATCTATACACACCTCGGTGGGAAAATAGACAAATTGGTAAAGTTGGGCAAGTTCTGAGCAAAAGCAAAGTGCACATTTCCATGGCTACTCTCCTATTTGAAGCATAAGGGCAATTGCATAAGTGTTTCCCCATCTCAGGAGGGCCCCGTTGCACAACTAATTAAGCAATTGGTTGCAAAACCAGTCTCGCAAGGGATAAAAGACCCAGCATGCAAAGGGGTGGCTTCACTGATCGCTTGTCTGTCACTGCATAACACAACAGGATGCTGGCCCATTTGTGCAAATACACACATGCCAGAAAGGAAGGTATAGCCCAGTGGTTCTTAACCTTTGTTACTCGGATGTTTTTGAACTGCAACTCCCAGAAACCCCAGCCAGCACAGTTGGTGGTGAAGGCTTCTGGGAGTTGCAGTCCAAAACTCCTGAGTAACCCAAGGTTAAGAACCAGTAGTATAGCCATGTGCTTGTAATTTTGAACTCATTAAATGCTAGGCACAAGAAAACCAGCCCTCGGTGTTGGAAATGATTCTTGCAATTAGAATTATTCATCGGCATCTAGAAATCAGCACGACCTCTTTCCTAGTACAAAGATGCAGGGCTGGTGTGCTAATGCTACTTGTCTGGGAGCCCCTGAGTGACAAAGATGCAGGTCAGTGGAAATCCACGGGACATTCTGCACTTCCTTCTGACCATGCCAAAAGGAGAAACAGAATGCACAGTCAGTGCACCTGCTCAGCAGCAACGCACTAAAAACTCATGGGGTTACCAAGAAGCTCCTCTTTCAAACAACTGAGGCTTGTGGCTACGAACAAACTTACCTCCCTTTCTTGATGGTGTTTCGACCCAGCAGAGGATCCAGCACAGGCTCCACTGTCTCCCCAATGTTCTCAATGAGCAGAGTGTCTCCAACTGAAACAGCTTGTTCAATGATGTCTAGATAGCTACAGAATTGGAGAAGATTCCCTTAAGTATGCTGCATGGTCTTTCAGAACACACACCTTTTTCTTTTATCATACTGAAGGACTATGACGGACCATATTTTTTCACAAACTGATGCTCAGAGACACAAAAGCTTTGGGGGATGACTGAAATCCAGGGTGGGGCTACCTCTTTTAATTAGCACTGGAATGGGGTCTGCACCAAGGAGGCTTGTTGTCAAATATACAGAACAAGGGCTTGGATTTAGGATATGTGGAAATAAGGTGTCTTCCTGTCCTGTTCTAATGAATCTCCCCATACATGCACTCATGCCATGGACCAAGGTCTTCCCATTTCATGTATACTTTGCCTTGGAGGGGCTGCCCTGGTCAGGAGGGTGCAGTCTAGATGGACAGTCCCAGATCTAGATCCCAACTGCTGGGTGTGAGAAGGTCTGATGAAATGTAATGCCTTGGGAGCACAACTAACTTTGCTTTTGGATCTCTAAGCAATTCTTTGTGGGGAACACAATCAAAAGAATAGAAAGAGTAGCTATGGCACAACCTTTTCTGTCCAAGCCGAATGGCCTTCAGGTCTGCTCCATGTTTGTTCTTGATCCACTTGATCCCCTGGAGCTGGGCATCTATAATAAGCGGCCAGCGTTCTGTATTGCATAGGATAGTTGCATTTTCTGTTGACATGCGGTCACTGGGGAGACCCTGGTTGTTCCATGTTGCTATATCTGCGTCATCTGTTAGGAGACTCAAAGGATCCAGCCCAGGAGTGATGGGAATTGGGACCTGGGGGGAAAAGAGTCTCTCTGAAATGCACAGCCTATTCCTGGCTGGTACAGAACTGTATGCCTGGCTACAGTAACTCAAAGGTAAACTCCAGGCAACTTAATAAATTCACAACAGAGGTTAAAAACAGAAGTGGGCAAGGTGTGAAGGTTCTAGGTTTTCAGGATGCTGTTCTGTCTCTGACATTTCCCCTCTCCATAGGGCGACACAACTGCCATCTCACAGCAAAGTCTTTAAGACACCAGGCAGGCAAAGACTCTTTTATTCTTCCAGGTGTTTTATCTTTGATGCATTTTTCTTTCTGCTGTGACTGTTTTTTGTGCTCTCCTTTGTTGCTGACAATTTTTTTTTCTAGAAGTTTCAAAAAAGATGAGTTATATGTATTTTTAATGTAAGAAAATAATGAACCCCATAGGATTTACTTCTCGTGTATTTAATGCGGAGAACAGCCTGAAATGGATCCATTTGTATCTTTAAAGTGTCTTTGGACTGAGCATTTAAATTCCTAACAATGCGAGAGGGGTAGGAGTATCATGTCTTCAAAAAGTTACATTTCTGTACTACAACTTTTTGGAATACAGTTGCCATGCTGATTGATGGATGATGGCAGTTGTAGTCTAAGAACAATTTCCCCAGATTCTGGAGCTTGTCAGAATGCAACATGCATACCCAAATACATGGTGGATGTTTCGAAGGTTAAGCCAGAGATGTACAATTACTATCCTAGTGATGAACAGACTTACCTTTAGCTGTTGTAAGTAAGGAGCCCAGAACTTGTCCAGCAGCTCAGTTCTGTATTTTTTGGTAAAGTAGCCAACGTAGGAAACAAATGCAGTAATCAGGAGCACATCACCACACAAAGTTTTTTCCTGTTCACGGAAATTTTCCACAGACTCAGCCCAACGCACATTTTCTGATGCTAGTCCACCAACAAGTCTTAAGAAGCATTTCAAAAAGAAAGATTAATTTAGTTAGCATAGCTCAGAATGACCCAAGTCAATCTAGTCTTGCTGCTAAGCCTGTCAACTAACAATTACTAATTGTTCACCATCAAGTTGATCCCAACTTCTAGTGACCCTTTACAGGGTCTTCCAGGTACAAAGTACTCAAAAGTAGTTTCCCAATCCCTTTTTCTGTGGATGGCCAGCAAAATGATGAATAAAAAAGTGATAAAATAAAAAGTGCTGCAATAAATATTAGGCAATTGGCTTCCTTTTGCTAAGGTGGTCACTCTCAGTCACATGACTCTTCTGGAATGAGAGCCAGCTATTTTGGAGTCAGGGCTAGAATCCCTCTTCCCTCCCTGCAGGTGTGGGATGGGATGACTATAGTGCTTGTAGGAAAAGAGAAAGCAGCCTATAATCGGAAGCAGTTTGTATGGTTGGAGAGCTAGAAAGTTTGGGGGGGTGGAGCAGAGAACCCCCTCCTCCAAGCCCTTCAGGGAGTGGTTGTCACTGAAGTCTCACGGGGGGGGGACTGATCTTGGAAACACTTCTTAGAATGTCAAGCAGTGAGCCTACGTTTAGGTTGCATGTGTGTAAACAAACAGATATACTGCAAATTGCCAGTAAGCGCCCCGTGACCTGACACAAAGAGGATTTCCACTCAGAGACTTCAGGTGTACAAAGCAATACAGTAAGTGATTATTTATTTATTTATTTATTAGTCAAGGCTGAATGTTCAATTTAGTCATTCTGACAGATGCAAATGTTTGCCTTTGTTGTAACTAGGATGCTAATCCTGTTCTGCTCCTTAGAAGTTTAGAAATATGTAGAGATATGAAATATTGGCTGTCAGGGAGCCAAATTACTCATTAAAGAGGAGATCCATAGCTGGGGGCTTGTATCTGGATTATTATTTTTAACGCCATAGAACAATTTCTGAAATGTATTTATTAATCTCTTGCTTTTCACCCAAAGATCTCAAGAATTCCCCAATCCACTGCCTCCCACCTTTGCCATTTATATTCTCATCACATGTGTGTGCGTGCAGATTTTTATTGGGAAAATGAGATGGTGGTAAAACCTAGCCCCCCTTACTTTGCTCACTCCTTTCTCAAGGAATCTGGCAGTCCACTCCCAGCTGCATTTCATTTTTTGTTTAAACACAAAATCTGTCATGAATTTTCTGTATGAAGGTTTTTGACTTCCAGTAAAATACGGAATCACAGCAGAAATAAGCCAAGCCAATAATCAACACCATTGGACAGAATTTAACGAGCTTTGTACCTGTTAGCCAATGAAATGACTCTGTTAGTCGCATCAGCCTCTTGCTGGCACTTGATTTTTTCAGCAGTGGCTTTTTCAAACTCAGCAGTTAGATTGGCCAAGTTGGCATTTAGATCCTTGAAAGCGATAAGTTTGCAGTTACTTTTATGACAATCCTTAAGGCTTGCTCAGTCTAGAAGAGAGGTGGGGAACCAGCTTGTGGCTTAAGGGACACATCGGGCCCATTGTACTGGCTCTCAGATTTGGGACAACACCTCTCTCCATCTCAAAGCCCTACTCCTTCAGAAGGTAAATTGGTTAAGAAAGCAACTACCCTCTGCAACCGTGAGGCTGGGACTCCGTTGCTTTGTTCTTCCTTGCATGGAGAAGGTCAAAGAAGGCCATACCCTTCCCAAGGACACAGGCACTTCAAAATGATGTTCCCTCCACTTCTTCTCTTTTTTCCCCCTACCCAGGAAAAGTGAGGATGCAGTAAAAATGGCTCCATGCACGACAAGCACTTCCAGGCATTTCCCTCCCTGTTCCCAAAAAATTAATATTAAAAGAAAATAAGAGAGTGGGGGGAAAAGTTAATAGGTTTCTATAAATGTACATAAAAAGCAAAAGAGTGTGCTCCATTTCTTAACTTCTCATTTCAATACATAACAAATTTATTGCCCATCTCTCATAAAGAGTATGCATACCTTGCAAATAATTTATTTGCATCCTCACTTCCAAGCATTTTCTGAGGGCCAAACTATACACGGCACAGGCACAGTAATTAGAAGCTCAAGCTCATTGCTGTTCCAGAGACCTGATTCAGGCAGATATTC